TGCGGGGCCTCGGGCAGAGCACCCGGCCCCGGGAGGAGCCGCCCGGTGGGGCGGTGGGGATGGAGGAGGCCGAGCTGCGGCCTCAGGCCTGCGGGGACCCGCCATCCGCAGCGGGGCGGGAGCCCGGGGGGGATTGCGCAGTGAATCTTCATCTCTTTGAACGGGAGGTTTAAGGAGATGCTCTCTGACAGCTCACATGAACGCAGTATTATTTATTTATTGCTCCCGCGGGGGCAATCTCCTCGAGTGGAGCTTTCCTGGCAATTATTTTGGAAGTGATCCCTATGAAAATACTTTTTTTAAAATCCATATTTCTCTTTAGCACTTGTCCACTAAGAAAAACTTGCCCTTTGTGTTTGCTGCCTGCCACAGATCACAGTCTTGGCTTGAGGCAGGAGGGAAGCTGCCTTTCAGAGTTTCTCTCTCCCTTTAGGTCACACATTGTCTCCCACCCACCTGAGTTTGAGGTCCTGAGAACCTTTGAGGTGGTGGTTATTGGCACGTGTGGGGTTTTTTTACTGAGCTTGAATAAATCTTGTAGGAAGACTGGAAACAGCCACAGCTGAGGGGCAGCTCCCTTCTGCTCTCAGGCCAAGGCTGGCAGGCTGTGTGGAACTGCAGTGGACTTTCAACCTAGACCTTGCCCCATTATTCATGTGTAACACTGCATAATGTGAGGGCAGCTCTAAACAACTGCAGATTATTGTGAGGATAAAAATACCAGTCATCTTGAATTATAGCAGAGTTCATTTTCTCTATGCAGTCTGATGGTTTTTGCCATCATATGTGGCTAAATGCACAAATACATTAGCTCAGATGTTCCTTCTGACAGATGACAAAAATGGGTCAAGGTGTCTGCTGACAGCCTTTAAGGGAAGGATCCCTGAGGGTGGGCTATTTTTATCCTGTTTCTATTAGCAGAATTGATGGATGTAGTTTGCTTGCACAGCTGGAGCGAGTCCATGACTGAACAGGCAGGCTGTGGCCACTGGAGTTGCAGTCAGACTGCAGAGGACAGGTAGAAGAGAGCCATTTGTGCTTCTGCTTGATTTCTAGACCCCTGGGGTGTTCTAACATGGATAAAAGAAGTATGTAAAAAAACAACTGAAAAATTACCTGGGAGCCAAGTTTTAAGTGGTGTAAAAATGTATCTTATTTACAGTCTTCCCATTGTGATCACGTTTTGTGATGTGCACCTTCTAGGCAGTGTGAGACCAGAAACTCAAGAATGGATTAAAAATAGAACAACATATGGATATCCTAGTTGCTTGCCAGGAGATTAAGGGGCCTTGATGACCTGTCAATTTAGTAAACTAATCAAGCCTGTGAAGCAGCACAAAGAAACCTGGTAGCATCATTGTCTTTGTAGCTTGTAGGCAGTGGCTGGCTGTGGTAACTACTCAAGTAAAATGACATTCATACTCTTGGGGAAGGAACTGCCTGAAAAATAAATTAGTTTTGTAGGTAATAAGAGAAATTATATTCCCTATCTCTAGAAATAACAGTTTATTTGAAAATAAATTGATTTGCAATTTACCAGGGAAGAAAATTAGCCCTTGAATCAGTGTGAGGTCAGAAGAGTTTAACTGGGACTTGACCCAGAGGAAGAAAGTGTTGTAAAAGCTTAATTCTATGGTGCTGTATATCTTAAAGTGCAACAGAAATTAGGGTAAAACCAGATGAATGTTAGCAATACTAAGCTTAGTGGGGAGCAGTATAGCCAGGAGCAAAAATCCATGTGAGGCTTACGAGTCTGGTTATAAGAAGTGAGAGGTACACATCACAAAACACAAGTCCCCATGAGAACTCCCCAAATGTTCTGAGTGCTACAGGGAAAGGCCATTAGCTGAGGTCATTATAAAGCTGTGGCCAAAATGACAAGTCTAGGAGGTGTGTTTTAAGTTCTCCTGGAGTTTGGAGACTTTGACAGTCAGTCTTTTGCCTTAGGTCTGTGTTAAAAATCTCTACTGGTTTTAAGTAATGGGTAAATGACTTGAGCTCAGTAATTGTACTTCAGTCATTGAAGACTTTGCTGGTCTTGACTTCCTCTCCCCATGATCAGTCAATTTTTTAGGAAATGATTTGTCTAAACTGATTACTTCTTTGCATTGTAGGTAAAAGTGTAATTTTCAATGTATACTGGTAATCTTGGTAGAATTTTTGTAGGTGAAAGAGACCTGGGGGTCCTGGTAGACAGGAGGATGACCATGAGCCAGCAATGTGCCCTTGTGGCCAAGAAGGCCAATGGCATCCTGGGGTGCATTAGAAAGGGTGTGGTTAGTGGGTCAAGAGAGGTTCTCCTCCCCCTCTATTCTGCATTGGTGAGGCCACATCTGGAGTGTTGTGTCCAGTTCTGGGCCCCTCAGTTCAAGAAGGACAGGGAACTGCTCGAAAGAGTCCAGCACAGAGCTACAGAGATGATTAAGGGAGTGGAACATCTCCCTTATGAGGAAAGGCTGAGGGAGCTGGGTCTCTAGCTTGGAGAAAAGGAGACTGAGGGGTGACCTCATCAATGTTTACAAATATGTAAGGGGTGAGTGTCAGGGGGACGGAGTTAGGCTTTTCTCAGTGATGACCAGTGATAGGACAAGGGGTAATGGGTGTAAATTGGAGCACAGGAGGTTCAAGGTGAATATCCAAAAAAATTTTTTTACTATGAGAGTGACAGAGCCCTGGAACAGGCTGCCCAGGGAGGTTGTGGAGTCTCCTTCTCTGGAGACATTCAAAACCCACCTGGACACGTTCCTGTGTGATGTGCTCTAGGTGACCCTGCTCTGGCAGGGGGGTTGGACTAGATGATCTTTCGAGGTCCCTTCCAACCCCTAGGGTTCTATGATTCTATGATCCTATGAATTTTCAACTAGACGAAAACCTGTTCATTTATACATTAAAAATAACAAGGAAATGTGCTTCTGTGGTAGTTCATGGCTATATAATGCACAACATGCTCTGCTAATCATGGATTAATCTCAAAAGTGACAAAGATGACCCTTATTTAATGAGGTTAAAAGACTTGGCAAAGATCACCCAGCAGAGCTATGGTAAAGCTGCAGACAGTGCTTGCCCACCTTATGGCAAAGGCTAAGCTGTAATCATTAAATGACAGTTTTAGCAAGGCTATAAATAGATGTCCTTTTGCTGCTTTTAAGTGAGTATTTTTCTAAACATGCTGTTTCTAGAGACCTTTTTAAAATTAAATACTATTTTGATTTAATGCGGAAGGGCTGCAGCATTAGAGTTTATTTTGGTGGTATGAAACATCTTTAATGTGTTTTGAAACAACAGAGCATAGTGGATTAACATTATCAGGAGAATACTCAGAAATTCTAAGTCCAAAATAAGTTAGAGGAGGACTTGCTAGAATGTACAGTGCTGTGGGTTTTTAAAAAACATCTTTCATTAAATCAGACACCTTGGAAAAATTAGTACATCATAGGATGATCATACCTGGGGAAAAAAAAGACCCTTAATACTAGTGAGCAGGTTGTTTGAGTGGATGCTTATGTCAGATTCTCCTACCAGAACTAGACAGACATGGATATGTGACAGATTGTGGTGAAGAAACGGGATGCAAAGGAAGGAAGTACATGCCATCAAAAAGCTGAGCTTACTCCTGTTCGGCAGCAGCTGAGTCCTGCCCAGAGGGAACTGAAATCCAAGTTATTTTGGCTTCAAGAAGAGCCAGGGAACAGAACCCAGGAAGTTCATCCCAGTTTCAGAAACAAAGACAGGACAGGCACGGATTTCCCCTCAGCAGGACGTGTCGCGAGTGCAAGGACTGGGGAGTCCAGATGTTTTATCTCCACATCTCTCAAAGGAAATCAAACGAGGAAACTTGACGGTGACAGAACGAGGTGGGAGGTCGGGCGAGCAGGGATGGGAAGGGAGCCCGGACCCAACTCCCACCAGCGGATGAGGAGTGAGGCTGCGGGCTGACCCTGCCGGGGGGTCCCGGGGAGCGGGGGGGGCTGGAACGGAGGCCCCGCCGGGCCTGGCGCCC